CTTCTAATAATTAATATTACCTCTGTTTCGAACTTTGCAATTTTTTACCACCCTGTTTAGCATAAAAGTGTATAATAAACATTTTCTTAGTAAATATGACTCACTTTTAATGTAAATTCTAGCTTCGAAAAGAAATAGTAAGTTTATGCTACAAAAATCATTTTGGCCACGAATTTGGAAAAAATCCCCTCTGTGCGGCTCCTAGTCTAATTAACCTTGTAAAATTTGTTAGGTTTAGGTAAAAATGTTTGAAAAAGCAATATAAACTCACTTCGAAATATTTCGAGGGCTTTCATGATTCGATAACATTCGTATACCGGGTGCGTCTCAAAAGTGGCTAACCCCTAACTTTTTTATTTTTTCAGATAAAAAAACGAAATTTGGTATGTTAGTAGATGACATAAATTAGGATTGATAATTTGAAGAGACATGAATTCCACGTTGAATAATATACTGCTACTTTAATATATAGGGTGTTCCATTACAAAAAATACAACTTTGATGTGTTACTTTATTTGGAGACACCCTGTATAACTATATATTTTTATAAAATGCTTTGGATTAACCTACACGTGCTCCAAAATTTTATTTCGATATAAACTACCGTTCTTCCTGGAGCCTCTGCGTCGTATGAGAAGCGCCACCCTGTATATATACAACATATTTTATACAAATGTTGCTATTTAAGAAAATCAGTTAGTCGTTTATTATCGAATACCAGGGTACAAAGTATACCCAAACCGATAATATTATTTTTCAGTTAAATATTCACTCACGCAACAAATCTATTAAAATAGAACGTTGGAAATTAACGTGTTTACAGACGCGCCGTCATTTGCAGGAAGTAAATTGGCCGTTGCTCTCATCTTAATCTGTACTTACTGCATATATATCGAGATTATCAAATAGAACAGATTAGCATGCCTCGCTTGTTATACTATCTCTGCCGTAATACATTGAAAAACACTTCTAACCTACTGGCAAGTCTACTTTCAAATCGAGCCGAGGAAAAATCAGTGTACAGGGTGGGCGAATTTTGATGCATTAAGAGGGAATTCTGATTACTAAGAATATACAGGGTGGCCCGAACTGTATTCCGGAAACTTCAGAAGCATATTCTGCAGATAAATATTAGTAGTGGGAACTATCGAATGAATACTATCGAAACATTCGATAGTTGCAATTCATTCGAATAATTCGATAGCTAGTAAGAAAACATTCGTTGAAAACTATTCGAATAAAAATTATAGAATAGATGCGTCATCTGCTTTGAAATATTGTATTCTAGTAATTCGGCAGCAAAAACCATTCATTTATAAAATTCATTCATTTATGAAATTCATTTATTCGTCAAGATCGAATATAATAAAATATTAACTGAATTTTAGTTGTCGCCCGGCGACGTAGACGTTCTTTCGGAGAAGCCCGGTCGGTGGCAATGCTATGAAAGAAGCCGGCATCTTTGATTTTTTGCGGACTCCGATAAAGATAAGGACACATTTTTTTTATTGAGGTGCTAGTATTTACACAGAAAATACATTATGAAGGGCGCTGTTGCCATATATTGGTATTAGTTGATATTAGCAAGGAAAATTATTGTTTGGCTTTAGTTAGTTAGGGATAGTATCTCTATATATTTTGCATTTTTTTTATTAATATTCTGTTGTTACACTGCAATAATACTTGTTATTTTGGATGTAGGAAAATTATTTTTAATGTTTTTAAGCAAAGACTGGTTTAATAAATAATAATAACAGTAATAATTTGTTATACCTATTAACAAAAATTAAAATAATTTAATATAAACATTTTTTTTAGGTAGTAGCAAAATATAAACAACAAATTAGATGTCAAAATTATTTATATTAGATCCTATTTATAAATAATATAATCTCTAAATTTTTTGTGGCAACGTTGGTTGATTAAATAATAATAATTACAGAACTAATTTGTTATATTAACAAAAAATTTTAAAATCATGAAATATAAACATTTATTAATTTTCTAAGCATGCAGTGTATTGGAAGGAAAATATAAATAAAAAATTAGAAATCAAAATTATTTATATTAGGTACTTAATATTACTATTTAAAATTTACTTTAAAATATAAATGAAATATTTCTTCGCAAAAAACTAATGTAAGAGAATTAGCATAAACAAAATACAAACATCGCTAACTTTTTTTTTTAAATTGGCACGTGTAAAATGTTCAATTAAATTTTCTCACCCCATAGTTTCAGTTCGATAACCATTTACTTAACCACATTACTTAAATATGATTATTAAGTTCAACTAATTTATATTATTAAAACATCTAAAATACAAATATGTATTTTTAAAATTCAAAAAGTTCATCTCGTCTCTCTTAAAAATTGCGACTTCTCAAAATTTCCCATTAAAAAATAAACCATATACCATATAAAATTAAATAATTGAAAGATCGGGCTACGGAAAATCACACAAATTTTCGGAAAAATTTTTACCATCTGCACACGCACGCAATGGTCAATTAAAACAAACTACTATTTTAGTATTTTAAATATTTTAATAAACGCAAAAATAGCAGAGTATTTGTACGGCGAAGTTATAAAAATTTGGAAGAACTAATAATGCACTGACGCACACAAAAATCAAACGAATACTAAATTTCATTTATCCAAAGCATTCGATAGTGGCTCAACGATAACCATTTAGTCGCAGGGCGAAGTTGTCACATATGCTTTAGTATACAAATGATTGAATGATTTTATTCGAATAAAACCATTCGATAGTTGAAATCATTCATTTAGTAACCATTCGATAGTCTAATTCATTCGATAGTTCCCATCGCTAATAAATATAAGTAAAAAAGTTCGTATAAATGTATATCCTAAAATACTTAGTTTCGGAGATACAGGGTGTAGAAGTTTCATTTTTATTTCGATTTTTTCCAAATAATTTCTAAAACAACGTCAATATTTAGATGATAATTGATGTCTGGGAGTTTTTTGACATGAGAAATTTGATTTTGATGTCAATATGACTCCTATTTGTAGGGGGCCCCTTCTACATGTGTTTTAACTATTTTATTTGGTAATAAGTTTTCGTTCATACCTGTATAAAACTGCTGGTTGAAAAACATACATTTCCGTGATTTTTTACGTAAAAAATGTATCTTGGTAAAAATCGCTACAAGCAACCGGTCTCAAGATAATTAGAATGGAAATAATCAGTACGTCATTATTGACAAAAAATAAACATAATATGTTGAGTAGATAGTTATTTGACTGTAATTATAAATTTGGGAACTTTATTTTTTTAAATGAATCACAAATTTGTCTTCGAAAAAATGAGGATAAAACAGTTTCTGTTGAACTTTTGGCAAGAACATTTCAATTTTATGATTTCAGTATAATAACTATTTAGTCAACATGTTTAATTTATGCCAATGACGACAGGTACCTATTGATAATTTCGTTAATATTGATATTTAGCCGAAACGTTTTTGTTAAACCAAAAAAATAATGAAAAACCAAATGAAAACTTAATCAGCGTATTTCCCGAACCTAAATCCCAAGAAAATCAAAAATTTTAGAATAATTTTACATTATAAAATGACAGCGATGTTTATTTCATAGCCATCGCTGACGCATTTTTTTCTATGATATTATATTATTTGCAAATATAATTTTTCGAACATTGGTACTTGCAAAATATATGTACATATAAATTTTGTGAATGCAAATAATAATACATCACTATTAGTATATATTGAATGTTTTTTGTTAAATTAGATCGATTTTCAAACCCCAAAATTTAAAATATATTTTACATTTTACCCATTATCTTATGTACCTATTCATTATTTGTATATTGTAAAACATTTGCTGCATTTATATGGTTCATAGTTTATTTGCCAAAGTATTTATTATTATAAATAGGTTATATTATATTTATTAACTGTATATTATGTATATTTCATGTAAACTATATCATTTTTAAAATACAAACCAAAAATACGAGGAATAATTATGTTTTCCATGTATTCTACAACATATTTATTAATCCGTATCTAATTAGCGTGACGTCATAAATTTCGTTCCGAGGCGGTTCTATTAGAGACGGCATTGGTTTGATATTTAGAAATGTCAAAAGCTGATGACATTTTACTTTTGACAATTATGCCATTTCGTGTTGATTTTTGCAAGAAGAGGAAGAACTGTCCCTTGTTTTATTATTTTCCTTTTCTATTTCACGAAAGTAAAAAGAGTTACCTATCTTATTCGTTCAGGCACTCTACTATCAGTAACTTTTTGATAGATGGATTTTATATTTGCCATGTTGGTAAAAAATAACTGTCAAAATTCAAAGTTATTCATTTTATAGACTATAACTTGTATTATAATTTATTATTCAGGCTAATAAAACTTTTTAGATGAGTTCACAACTACAGTAGTTTAACGCACCGACTTTGCTGGCGGAGACATAACTGGGGCTATTTCGGTTATAACGATTTTTTTAAAGGTACATAATTATAATTTTAGAAGATCTTAATAAAAAAATTAAGCACTAGTTGATTAAAACAAGTATGAAGAAAAAAACCTCAATATTTGACATTTTTATTATTTTATCAAACTGTTCCTTATTTTACCGATATTTTTCAGAATCCGATCCTTACCGTAGCTTACTAGACTGGTAAACATGGTTTTACAATGGAATACAGACAATAATAATTATTTTGTAAAAAAATTCTGTCCGAAAACTTTTGATTTTTCTCCAAATTAAATATCAAATTTTGACAAGCTTTTTTGTTTAATTTTCAATAACTGACATAGACTGGGCCGACTGAAACTGTCATCGATTGTCATTACAAAGACCACCGTGAAGTTGTTTGTTTTTTCGATTATAATATACGGTATTTGCTACACAACTAAAGTAAGCAGCATGTAACTAAACAACGCTTGGCTAATACAACACCCAGTATATGGTTAGGTATATTTTTTCTACGTCGGACACTTACAGAATCTGGTTCACTGGCGTCTTGATTTAGTGCCTCTCTTGTTTGATTCGATTCGACTATCGAGGCTTGTGCTCCATCGACTTTTTGCGTTGAATTCTCCGGCTTAGCTTCGAGGCTTAGTGCATTGGTACTGCTGCTCACGCTGTACTCCACTGAAGTTTTTTGGGATGTCGTGGTTTCGCATAGGCTCATCTAGAGATAAAAAAATAAAAGTAAATATAGAAGTGAGATAAAACATATATTAATTTTTGTATTTGGTTCATTTTCATTTTCATGCATCAAACATATTGTGTAAATTTTGTTATACAGGGTGGTTCGAACGGTATTCCGGAAACTTCGGTAGCATATTCTGCATATAAAAATAAGTAAAAAAGTTCATATAAATGTATGTACTAAAATGCTTAGTTTCGGAGATACAGGGTGTAGAAGTTTAATTTTTATTTCGATTTTTTCCAAATAGTTTCTAAAACAACGTCAATATTTAGATGAAAATTGATGTCTGGGAGTTTTTTGACATGAGAAATTTGATTTTGATGTCAATATGACTCCTATTTGTAGGGGGCGCCTTCTACATGTGTTTTAACTATTTTATATGGTAATAAGTTTTCGTTCATACCTGTATAAAACTACTGGTTGAAAAAATATATATTTCCGTGATCTTTTACGTAAAAAATGTCTCTTAGTAAAAATCGCTACAAGCAACCGGTCTCAAGATAATTGAGACAGGTTGATTATTTGATTATTGAAATTATATTATTTGATTCGTTGTTTATTTCCATTCTCACTAGTAGATATAAAAAGCATTTTCGGTAAACTCTGTCTCTAATAGTTTCTGAAAAATAAAATTGATTTCTTTAAAAGGTGCTTATTAAATTTATATCTCCGAAACTAAAGTTCCAAGAAAAGTCGTAATACATATATCTACAAATTCATTTACCCACTTCATTTAACCACTTTTAACAAATTGCTGCAACTTTTTTGCTATGGAAAAGTTTGTATTTTAATGAAAACATTTCCAAAGCACCTTTTTACGTAGAATTTAATGGTTTAAGTATATATTTTTTTAAATTAATTATTTAAGAATTATCAACAGAAAATTTAATTTTTTTTATGGGACACCCTGTATATTTTTAATTTATTGAAAAGAATTTAAAATTACCTTTCCAAAATATAACACACTTGATATTTTCCTCTTCGAGATATTAGAGTATATAAAAATTTGCCCGCTTTAAATAAGTAGGCTTTGAACTTCACCGGCTGTAATGCAAAAAAATTCTAGCTGTGAGCATCAATTAAAACGAAAATGATATTTGCTATGAGAGATGCAGAATTTTATAACAATTTAAAATATATTTAACCAACATCAGCACATTTAAACTATATCTAATAACAATAAAAATAAACAGCAAACCAAGACATGAGATTTTGCTTCAGGTTTTCGACATATCGACCGTCTTCTGTTATGGACAGACGGGGCAGTTTTTGAGCATTTCTTGCGGAATTCGTTAACTCAGTAGGGGTTGAAAAATACTCTCTCATAACTGCTAAGTATTTCTAATTCTTGTCTAGATTATACGGAAGAATAAGGAACCTTTATTCTTCGGCAAATATATCCATAGGATTATATCCATAAGCACTAAGTCAGGCGGTCTCGACGGCCAACGGCTGGGATCTTGGTTAGCTATTCAATTATTCTTGAAATTGGCTGCAAAAATTTGTTGATAACTTCAGCGTTCAGAAGCGGTGCGTCGTCTTGCTGGAAAATATGTTTTCGAGTTCCATTAAGAGCATATCATCAATAAGGGGTCCAAAGCCTACTAGTTAAAAGTGGCGAACTTTTAAAAATTCTGTATTTCGAAGGGGATTATAATTAAATATCAAGTATGCTATATTTTTGGAAAGGTAATTTTAAATTCTTTTCAGTTAATTAAAAATATACAAGGTGTCCCAAATAAAAAATCAATTTTTCTGTTGATATCTCTTAAATTATTAATTTTAAAAAAATCATACTTAAACCATTAAATTCTACGTAAAAAGGTGCTTTGAAAATGTTTTCATAGAAATACAAAATTTTCCATAGCAAAAAAGTTACAGCGATTTATTAAAAATGCTCATTTTTGAAAAACAACCCGGAACTCCGAAACGGTAACAGATATTGATGTGCGGTTTTCACCATGTTTTTGATGAAAATTGAACTCCAGACACCGATATTAGTTTTCGTCTATTTCCTATAGAAAAGGGTGTTTCCATTTAAAAGCGCCGAATTTTACCCACCCTGTACAACTTTACTTTCTAAATGGAGTATTACATCTGAATATTTTAATTTTTAAACAAATATAAGTTTCGGTGTCATTTAATAATTAGTAAGACACACTTAAATTGTAATTATGTATACACATGAAATTTTGACATTTGAGAGTGGTTTAAAAGTTTTTGAAGTAAATCGAATTATTTAAAGAAATATAAAATTACATTTCTTGTTTTCCTAAAACTAACATAAAATAGATCTCTTAAAAAATCATTTTAAATTTAATATATTATCTAAATTACATATGTACCTTAATACCTACCTCAATGTTCAAACAAAGTACCGTCACAGTAACCGCTAGACAACGCCATCTGAAACAAGAAGAAGAACAAATTGCATTAAAGATACAAAAAGATGAATGCACTAGGAAATACTGTAACGTACAATCAACATAATGGTATGATATTGAGTGTTAAGGAATCTTTTAGTATAACCAAATAAAACAAACAACTAAATATAAACATTTTCGGAAGAATGTAATGTGTACGGAAATGAAAATCAGAAAGAACAAAATATCTATATATTTGCTGTACAGAGTTTTAAACTCAAAATACCATATGATCCAAAAAAAGAGGATGTCGAAATAAAATAATTACTTATTATACAGGTTGGTCCGAACTGTATTCCGGAAACTTCTGCATCATATTCTACAGATAAAAATAAGTAAAAAAGTTTGTATAAATATATGTCCTAAAATGTTTATTTTCGGAGATACAGGGTGTAGAAGGTTTATTGTTATTTCGATTTTTTTCAAATAATTTAAGTAAGTATTAAAAAGTAGGGTAGTTGGATGAAAATTTATGTCTGGGAGTTCTTTGACATGAGAAATTTGATTTAGATGTTAATTTTACTCCTACTTGTAGAGGGCCCCATTTACATATTTTTTAACTGGTTTAAAAAGTAATAGCTTTTCGGGAGTCCCTGTAAAACCTACTGATTAAAAAAATATACATTTACGACGTTTTTTACATAAAAAGGTCTCTTGGTAAAAATCGCTAGGAGGAATGGTTCCCAAGATATTTTGAATCGAAATTATCAATACCTGTCAAAATTGACATGAATCTGAATCGTTATTAGACTGAAATCATTAATTTGAAATGTTTTTGTACCAAAAGTTTAGCAAAAACTGTTTTATCATCATTTTTACGAAGAAAAATTTATGATTAATTTAAAAAATAAAAAGTTCCCAAATTTATCGTTTCAGTCAAATAACTATCTCTACTCAACTTGTTTATTTTTTCTCAGAAATGACATGTATTGACTAATTCCATTCTAAACATCTTGAGAACGGTTGCTCGTAGCGATTTTTACAAAGAGACATTTTTTAAATAAAAAATCACGGAAATGTATATTTTTTACCCGGTAGTTTTATACAAGTACGGGCGTCTATTAATTAAACTATAGCCGTTGTTAAACTACAAAAAATATGTCTACTCTTTAACTTGCGAATATTAATATAATACAAATTAATGAAATATAATTTAAGGTTTCTTGCCCATGCGACTGTTGATGTCTCCAATATTTTATCACCGTAATAAGAAGATTGTTGTAAAGAAACATATTCTGAGCATGCCTAAAAGTAAAAAAATGTGAAATATATACTCTTCTCTTCTCAGCCATTACTCATCCACTGCAGAATGTAGACCTCTCTCAGTTTCTTCCACTCGTTTCGATTCTGTGCTCTCCTCATCCAGTTCTTACCGGCTACGGTTTGGATATCATCAGTCCATCTTTTAGGAGGTCGGCCGACTGGGTGTTTTGCTCGGCGTGGCCTCCAGCAAAGAAGTCTTTTTGCCCATCTTTCCTCGGACTGTCTGGCCAAGTGTCCTGCCCAAGACCATTTAGAGTTAGCTATCCTCTCCACGATGTCCGTTATCCTCGTCTGTCGGCGAATGTCTTCATTTCTAATGTGGTCGCGAAGACTGATACCCATCATGGCTCTTTCCATAGCTCTTTGGCTCACTCGCAACCTGTTCACACTTCGTGCCGTCATCGTCATAGTCTCCAAACCATAGGTCATGACAGGCAAGACGCATTTGTTGTAAACGTCTCTTTTTAGGCTATTTGGGATTTTGCTTTTGAATATAAAGTTAAGTGTACCAAAAGCTGCCCATCCGAGTTTGATCCTTCTAGAAATTTCGGTTGTTTGATTTTCCTTGCCGAGTTTTATGGCATGACCTAGATATATATACTCTTTAACGTTCTCAATCCTTTGTCCATTAACATTAACTTGCTCTTCATTTTCATTTAGGGTTTTAGTTTTAGACAAATTCATTTTTAAACCTGTGAAGTGGTGAAGTTGTTCGAGCATTGTTTGAAGTTCTTCCAACGATGAGGCCAGGACAACGACATCATCAGCGAAGCGCAAGTGGTTAAGCATCCCACCATCTACCTTAATACCCTTCTTGTCCCAGTTCAGCTTCTTAAATACGTCCTCCAGGGCCAGTGTAAAAAGTTTGGGGGAAATAGTATCTCCCTGTCGGACTCCTCTTTCCATTTTAATTTTATTTGTGATATTTATGTCATCCAGTTTGATAGTCATTGTAGCTGATTTGTAAATAGATGATATTATGCCCGAGTATCTGTAGTCTATTCTGGCATTTTGTAGGGCATCGAGGATGGCGTCTAGCTCTATAGAGTCGAAAGCCTTCTCATAATCCACAAAGGCGACAAAATACTATTATAGTATAATATTTCTGTTGATAAATTATATAGGTTTGGAAATGAATTATATAATATATAGATTATCATACCAAATAAACTTTTAGTTAATTGCTTAAGCTTGACTGACACAGCGTTGCCTACTTTTACATATTTTCTTCTTATGAAAGTATTTTTTTCGTATCCGTGGAACACAATACAACTAAATCTATTGTGTGAACTAAAATTCACTTACTATGAGAAAAATATAATGTGAGTCTTTTTCATCATTGTAATTAATTGTTAATTATTATAAAATTATATAGATATGTGTCTATATGATAATCTATTGCATAATCTAGAATTTATAACAAAATCATTCTGTTAAACTACTGTTCTGGCCAAGTTATGATTAAAGCCGCAAATCATTGATATGCGGTGATTTTAAAAATTGTAATTGGTATTAATTACTAATATCAACTAATAAAAATTTAAATAAGACGTATATACATCCGGCTATACTCCATCCGATGTACATATTAATTAACAGTAATTACATTGTTGAAGCAAGGTGAATTACAATAAAAAAAATTAGAATTAACAAAGGAAACGAGTGACTACATTGAGAAAATAAAGGAACGAATTAATACTAAAGCCTAATAGATATTATTATTAGGCCCCCCTTGCTTTTTTAAGCATTAACATTTTTTAAATTAAATAATTTAAAGATTGTGAGTTATTGTCCTTTTAGCCTCCTTCAAAGGTTTGCTTTGATGATATTATTATTATATATTATAAGTTTTTTCACAGCTGTCTCAGGTAAAAATTAAGCCGATTCATTAGAATCGGCTTTACCATTAGGTAAAAAGCACCTAATTAACCTAATGGTTTACCTTTACTTACCTTAGCCTTAATTTACCTAATGGTAAATTAGCCTTTACCATTAGGTAAAGGCTAAAATAATTTATGCTAGCCTGTTTGTTAATCAAATAGTTAGGCAGTACTCAAATATTTAGTTAAATGTTTAGAATAATTGAATAGTTTTTCACGAAAAGATAAATTTTGTAGCTCATCATACAGTCTCAGGTGTTTTGTTTTAATAATTACTAACTTTAAACGGCAATAACTTGTTTAATTTAAATGGAACACGCTGTATATTTTACGTAAATCAGATGCACAATTTAATTGTCTAGTAAATTGTATTATAGCATTTTTTACCTATCTCTTCAAGTTTTCGTAGAAAATACATTTTCTTATAATTTAGACCTCATTTTAGACCACTGTACCTATGGAATATTGACATTTTAGATTTTTTTAAAGCAACATAATATATACAAAATGTACAGGTGATAAAAATAATAATATTGCAAGCCCATTTATTTACAAAAATAAATCTGTTTAAATCTTTGCAAAAGAGTATATCAATTAAATATACCCACATTTTAAAATTAGTTACATACTTATTTGTTTTAATTAATAAATTATTCTAAATAAATGTGGATTTGACTCAGAAATCAATATAATAATAAGTGAAAATGAACGTCTCTGTTGTTATAAATAAACATTCGTCAAAAAATGAAATAAAATTTGTCACTTTTTACTGTCTAATACATATACAAAATTCATTTTATTTATTTGGAGCAATTATTATTAATCAACGTAAACAGTCAATTAGTGTAGTTTGAATACTGGAATCATATTAATTGGTCCTCTTTAACAAAAAAAAAATTAAACAGTTTACTATTTTTTAATGAAATAAGCGAATTATATATCGTATACATATATTTTATCTGTACTCTTGAAAATTTGTTACATTTTTAAAAATAATATAAAATGTCAATATTACATGGGTATAGTGATAAATGGGGTCTAAATTATAAGAAAATGCATTTTCTACGAAAACTTGAAGAGATAGGTAAAAATGCTATAATATAATTTACTAGACAATTAAATTGTGCATCTGCGTGTTCCATTTAAATTAAACATGTTATTGCCGTTTAAAACTAGTAATTATTTAATATAAATTTTAGACACTCTGTATAAGCTAGAATTTTGTTTATTATTGCAACACTTTGAATAAGAAGACTAAGGAAGGAGCATATCAAAAATCTTAGGTACACCGCGATGGGCCTCAAATATGGCCGACTTAAATTCCGGTTTATCAGTGTCGTTCTAATTTTATTTAAAAAATGTAAAACTATGATGTAGGGTAGACATGGGGTAGACTCAATAATTTGTTGTTTTATTTTACGTTGTGAATAAATGTTGGTAGTTATTAAAATTGTTATAAAAATATATAATTCTAATAAAAATAGATAAGTTATAATAAGTATTTATTACCACAAACATCCGATACGCTACTGAAGCAGGTAAGTCAAATTAACGTATCTAAATTCTTTGACATCTAATCTTTGACAAGTAATAAATAAAAGCTAAAATGCAAGAAAAATATATAATTTAGTTAATTTAAGTGAATTTCATAAATGATCGGTTTACTACACGTATGTCTATTATATAGTCACTTACTAGCAAAAAGTTGTTCCATTAGTTCACTCAATTTTTGCCGAGATCTACCGCACGCTACACAACCAACTATTTTAGAGTCTTTTTCGATAAATCGCGATAGTGTCACTGTTAATTTAAGTTCTGCCACAATTTCCA